GGGGACGCAGAGCCCCGCCCCCGAGCGGCTGGAGGCTTAAAGGGAGCGGAACCTCGCACCTGGCACCGACACGCCGTAGACGTTCACCTGCTGCAGGAAGTCCACGAGCGACAGCACGCCCTCCACCTCCCTGGTGGACACGTTCTCACCCTTCCACCTGCGGGCGGAAGCGGCTGCTTTGGGACCACGCCCCTGGTCACGGGGGGCCCCGCCTCTTGACCGCCATCCCCGCCCCGGGGCGCGGAAGTCCCGCCTCTTTAGTCGGCCCCTCTTTCCATCCGCGAGGGAGGCCGACTACTCCGCCCCCAGATGCCCCGCGCAGGACCGGAAGGTGTCCCCGAGGCGGTCGTGGAAGTAGAGGAAGCCTTCGCGGTCCACGGACAGCACGTCCCCGGAATTGTAGTAGACGTCGTCCGGCCGCCGCACCTTCCGCACCAGCTTCCGTTCCGACAGCTCTCGGGGCCCGCGGTAGCCCAGGAAAGGGTTGCGGCCCAGCACCCGCGTCAGCAGGAGCCCGGGCTCCCCTGGGGCAGGAGGGGGGGGCGTGAACCACGGACGAGAATCCCAGGAGCCTCCCAGCCTCCTGCTGGAGATTTCCAGCTCCCAGGGCCCTGCCAGAGAGAGACCCAGAGACAGACAGGGCGAGAGACAGACTCAAAAACACGGGGACACGGAGACAGAAGATGATACAGACGGAGCGAGAAGGTGGCTTGGGGGGCCCACTGAAAATAGGAAAAGGGCACCAAGGACGGACGAGGGACAGAGACAAATGGTGGCGGAAAGAAAGGGATGTGTCCAGGACCTTGCAAGGCCCAGGAGAGAAGACCCTAGCAGAAGGTCCAGGACAGGAAACTGACGTCTGGGAGGACGTGGCTTCCACAGAAAGCTCAAGAGAACAACTCCAGTGGACACCCAGACACAGCAGACAGGAGCTTGAGGCAGGGGAGCCCTACATAGCTGAGAGGCTGAGGGTCCCAGACCCTGGCCAGATGGGCAGGGGGCTTAGGGTTGGGGTGAGAACTGCAGGCACTAGCAAAGATCACCAGCCTCAAGGCTTTGGGGAGCTTGTTCCAGGCAAGGAGGAGACGGGGTCTCTACCCTTCCCACACCAGGAAAGGTTCCCTGAGCCCCATACCTGGCCCCACAGGCACACAGAAGCCTGCTTTGTCTCTCACAGGCTCCGCAGCCTCCGTGTCAAACTGTACAAGCTCAAAGGGCGACAGCATCTGAGTGGAAGTGAGGAGGTGTCAGCAGAGGTCGTTGGCTTTCAGCTTTGATCAGGGTCACTGTCATGCCCAACCCACTCACTCGAAGGATGCAGCTTGTCTTGCCCACGGCCCCACAGCGCCCTGGATAGTTGACAAAGCCGGCGTTGCCTTCCGTGGAGCCGTAGATTTCAAAGATCCGAATGGGGCCAAAGCGTTGCTGGAAGGTCTCCCACACATCTGCCCGGAGTCCGTTGCCCATCGCCAGCCGGACTGTATGTTTCCTGTCCTCTTGTCGCTGCAGGGATGTCCCAAGGAAGGTTAGGAGGAGGTGACATCAGCCATGCCCAGGAACCCTTTCCTGGGAAACTATCTTGGGTCCTTACCTGAGGAGTTACCTGGAACGTGATGAGGGGTATATACCTAGGGGATCTACTAGGGGTTCTTACTTGGGAGTAGTTATCTGGCATCTGTACTTAGAAGGTTACCTGTAGATATTACCTAGGGTCCTCACCTGGAGGGATACCAAAGGTGACTGGGAAGGTTACCTGGGGGACTTTACCTGGAGGTAACCTAGGGCGTGATTTGAAGCTTCATCTTCAGGAGTTACCAGGGGGGCCTTCCTTGGGGGTTACATGGAGACTTTCCTTGAGGGCTTGCCTAGAGGCTTTATCTGGAGGGATACCTGGGTACCTTGCTTGGAGACAGTTACCTGGGGTAACTCACTGCTCTGTAAGGATGGGCTGGCTCACATCTAATGAGTTTTCCCTGAGCCACACTGTTCTAGGTACTTTGCATGTTTAATTCTCACATTAGCCCCTTGAGATGTTATCCCTGTTTTCCAAATGAGGAAACTGAGGCTAAGAGAGGTGAAGTCACCTGTTCAAGGAAGAAGCCATGATCTGAAACCTTGTGTGGGACTCATTATAATATGTGGTTCTTGTCTGGGATGTTTTACCTGAGGGATCTTACTTGAATCCTGTACCTGAATATACCTGAGACCTATACCTGGGAGACAGCTGGGGTTTTATACCTCAGGTGTTCACCATAGAGCCCTAACCTTAGCACCTCACCTGGGGAGTGTTACACAGGTACCGCAGGACCTCGCCCACATACTGGATCACAGTCACACCATGCTGCCGACAGTCATCCCAGAAGCAGGAGGCAGAGAACTTGGGGGCCAGGACACAGGTCGCTCCTAGGAGGCAGCAGAGGAAGGGGTTTCAGGTCATGCTTCCAAGCCACTGTGAGAAGATGCTTTGATCTGTGCCCCCCACCCCCCCCAAACACAGGATGATACTAGGCTCATCTTGTCTCCCTGGCATAGCCAGGACTGCTTTCATCAGAGAAGCATAGGTGGGCCTGAGTTTGAATCCTATCTCCAGAATGTGTAGAAAGTTTGGTACCTGATACAAAGTGAGCACTGCTAAATAAGGGCTGTGAAAATTAATCATTCTTGATTATGATAAATGTTTTATGAATGTTTAGCTGAACAGATGGATAAGTAGGTAGATAGGTAGATGGAAAGGCGAGTGGATGGATGGATAGATGGATGGATGGATTTGAAGGATGCTCACATGGGTTAATGAATTTTAGGGGCTACTACATTCACTCTTTTTATGATCCCCACCTGTACAGCTAGCTGGCTCTGTAGAAGGCACTCTCCCTAACTCAGCCCTAATCCTCCACAAAGTCCTGCACCCAAAAGGACAATTGCTGTGTGCTTGGTTAGTAGCAAGTGTGTCTTTGAGGCTGTATTTTTGACAGGAAGGTAAAATATAAAATGGGCAGGGCTCTTGAAAATGACAGCTTTGTTTGCAACCCCTAACAAAGTGCCTGATTCAGGAAAGGTCTTCAGAGCTAGTAAAACCAGGGGGAAGGTTGGTAGAGTTTTCCAATTAAAGCTCTCAGTTCATCTCAGGCTGTCTAATATAGAATAACATTTACGAGCTGCCTCCAACATGATGAATTAGGAAGCACAATGAACCCCACCAAGGTTCTTGCCAAGAATAATCGAACCCAAGGCCCTGGCTGGGTAGCTGAGTTGGTTAGAGCATCATCCCAGTACGCAAAGGTTGCAGGCTCGATCCCTGGTCAGGACACACAAGAATCAACCAGAAAGTGCATAAATAAGTGGAACAACAGATCTGTCTCTCTCAAAACGAACAAATAGAATAATTGAACTGGATCTAACAACATCTCTAGAGGGAATTTCCAGTCTAACAGGAAGCACTGGGGAAAGAGCAGCAGGGACCAAACAATGAGGAGACTGACTGCAAAAAGGCAATTCAGTAATTGGGGAAATTTGAACATGAAGTGGGAGTCAGATGATACTGGAGTTGCTGTCAGTTTCAGTCCTTGTATGTTAGAGATACTCCAATAGTTAGGAGCAAAAAGGTACAGTTCTAGGATTTGTTCTAAAATAATCCCGAGAGAGAGGAGTCCATATGAAATAAAACTGGCAACATGTTAACAATTGTTGAGGCCAGGTGAGTACATGTGAGACTTTATCAAACTATTTGCTCTGCTTTTGTGTACGTTTAAAATTGCCCATAAGAAAAAAACAAAAAAAACACTTTTGGTTAGAGCATCATCCTGATATGCCAAGGTTGTGGGTTTGAGCCCCAGTCAGAGCACATACAAGAAGCAGCAGATGAATGCCTAAATAAGTGGAACAACAAAT